GTTATGACTCCAAGTACCGTACGTATATCCGTACGTACGACATTCCCTAATCCCCCCAGCACCCTCAGCCCTCATACCCTAAACCCTAAACCCTAAACCCTAAACCCTAATCCCCCCAGGCACCCTCAGCCCTCAGCCCCTCAAACCGTCAATCCTGACTCAAGGCCAGCACCGCAAGCCCTAAACCCTAACCCAGCCTCCTCCGTAACTCACTTCTCCGCAAATCAGAGGCTTCGGCATTCGTAACTCCGAACGCAACCCTTCCGGCCCGGCATCCTCACAATCTCTGACAGCGAACCCCAACCCTAAACCCTAAACCCTAAACCCTAAACCCTAAACCCCACCACTCCAAATCTGACAAACCCAGAACAGGGACAAAGACCGGAATTACAGACTCCCCGGTGCCCCGCCTTCGCCTCCGCTTGTGCGGCCTCCTCCGGCGTGGGCGGAGGGGCCTGCGTAGCTAGATTTTGAGATTGAAGCACGTAAAGGAGAGGACCACAGGCGGTCCTGCAACAGACTCCGTGTTCAGGCATCGATCGTGGTAAGTAGCCGTTTGAAATCCGGCGTGATGTTTGCAATTCTATTCGCTGAAGATGATTTTGATATTGACAGAAAATGATGTGAAACATGCATCAGACACTTGTTGGCACAACAGCACTTTTGTCGAATGTTGGGTCTGGTGCATGGTGTTTTCGCGACTTTGTGAGCAGGGTTTTGGGGACGCAACAAACCCCTAAACCCCCAAAACCCAGAGTCCGTCGAAACCCCGATAGACCTGTCTAAGCCTAGAAACCTCAATAGCCCTAGGCCCTAAACCCCAAAGCAGAAAAGTCCTAAAGCCCTGACATCTCCAAAGCCAGGATTCCGCCCTAAAGCAACTAATCTCTGAGACCTTTGGTGGTCTGCATTACAGAGCCTTGATAATCACAGTTGGGCTTCTTTGTGGCCTCCTTAAAGGATGTATAAGGGTTCCAATCAGGATTGCCACAAGGCTAACTATAAGGGTTCCTAAGGAGCTTTGATGATTCAAACAGGATGTTGGGGTATGCTATAGTAGAAGTATATAGTAACGAACCCTTAGGAAAATTATGAGTATTTGGCCAGGCCTCTATATTTAACTGCGCCGCGGCCCTCTGTAACTACTTGGAGGATCAAGGGACTTTGCAAAATAGAGGAAAATGTCCTTGATTGGGGCTATAAGCAATTGCAACTTTTGTTACCTTGTTTTCACCGTTGCGACATTCCCTGAACCTCTGTATGTACCCTACAACAACCTCATAGAGCCTTCATGAAAGAAACCCTATTAACGGAACCCTTAAGGGAACCCTGCCCTAAGTAACTCCCATATAATATACATACACATATATATATACACATATATATACATATACATATACTAAGTAACCCTAGCTGCAAAGCCCCATGACCGAACCCTTCCAGGAACCTTACTCTTAGTGATTCCTACATACCCGCTAAGCTCCAGAGTCCCTAAATCCTAAGCCCTACCCCTCAAAAACCTACCTACAAAATCCCAAAACCCCAAACCCTAAAACATACCCCTTGAAAACCTATTAACGAAGTCCCTAAACCCTAAACCCTAAAACATACCCGAAAAACCTATAAACGACGTCCCTAAACCCTAAAACATACCCTTGAAAACCTGTTTACGAAGTCCCTAAGCCCTGAAGCGCCTTATTTACAAAGTCCCTAAACCCTAAACCCTAAACCCTAAAGCGCCGAATTTACCAAGTCCCAGGATCCTTTACCCAATGCCTTGGCTGCTGCCAGGGCCGCCTTCTTTGCAAGCTTCCTGCGCAGAAGCCGTGGCTTTAGAGTTTGTGGACCTTTTTTTTTTAAGTGCAATGACGCTCCGTTCTCCAAAGCGCCTTGCGATTTGGGGATTTGAGGTTTAGGATGCAGGGTTTAGGGTTTCGTCGAGGTGGCCTCGCAAGTGTTCTTTCATAAGGGTTCTTTTTGGGCGTTGACACGGCTTCAAGGGCTTTCAAGAGTTTGGGTGGGTGGAAATCCTACCACGAAAGCCATGCGCGGCTTGAATTTTGGGCTTAAGGGTTTAAAACTGGCGGTATCAAAACTGATCTTGGTAAGCCGGGTTGGGGATAGGATATTGAACACCGTCGCGTGCTGAAACATCTGAGGCCCGAGTACCGGAGCTTGCCGAAGCTCCCTCTTTGCAGGGGAAGGAGAAGAGGTCCTATCCTGTCCTATCTATTCGTGCCGATATTATTGTCGAAAGTTCATATCTCCAGCAATATCATTATGGTTACCATTATTGCTATCATAACTGGTGCTGTTGCTATTGATGCTGCCTTTTGTCATTATTAGTACCGCTGCTAGTATTGTTAGCGTTGTTTACTACTGTCATTGTTGTTATTGCTACAGCTATGTTGACTGTTACGGCTGTGTTTACTGTGATTCTTGTGAAAGGTGTGATTACTGCGGCGGTGGTCCTTGTTGCTGCCAGTAATATTGTCTATATTAACATTGTTTTGATTCTTATGACAGTAGTATGGCTGTTATTCTTGCTACGGTTGTATCCTTGTACTTTGTGTTGTTACCGTCATTGGTGGTATTATTGTGAGTATTTGTGTTCTTGCTGGTAGTGCTATCCTTGTGATTATTGTCATTGCTGTTGTTGTTGCTGCTATTATTTATGATGTTGTTACTATGTTCTTCGTTTTATTGTTGTTGTTGTTCTTGATATTATTGTTGTTGCTTTTGTTGTTTTCATGTTACTGTGATTATTGTAATACTTTCTATTCTTGCTACGTGCTTCAGAGTTCTTATTCCGCTTACTAGGTGTATGCTGTTGATTCTTGTTGTCCCTGTTAGCCTTGCTAGTCTTGTCACGATGCTCAGTCTTGTTCTTCTGTTCCTCCAGTTCTTCCTGTCATTGCAGCCATTGCAGGTCTTCTTGTTTATCTCACGCTCTTCTCGGTATTTCTCCTGTCCTTGTGAGGCTCGTGCTTCTTACTATTATCATTATGCTATTGATTATCTTCTCCTTGGTAGTATTGTGATTGTGCTGTTTCTTGTGAGTTTGTGTTATTCTTTCTGTCAACGCTGTTTTGTTCAAAGCTTGCCGTTATTGTCGTGATTGCTGTTAGTGCTGCCAGTGCGGTTATTGTTGTTGTTGTTGCTATCGTTGCCACTCCCGATAATATTGATAGTAATGTTATTGTTGTCTTGGGTGTGATTCTTGTTATTGCTGTTCTTATTGTTGCTGTTGTCGTCATGTTGTTGTCACTGTTGTTATTGCTATGTTTTTAGCTGTTCTCATGGTTCCTCTAGCTAGGGCATTTTTGCGATTTATGTACTGATATCAAGTCTTACTACCATTACTGCCACTATTGCCACTACTGTTCTTACTGTGCGCATGGCTTATATTATTAGTGCCGCTATTGTTCTTGTTGTTGTTGTCGTTATTATGATTAATGTTAATATTGGTAATAAAGCTAGTATTGTTTATCTTTTTTTTGTAGCTATTACTGATAGTGTCGTTATCAGTGCTATCGTAGCATCCTCGTGGCTTTTGCGGCACCTTACAATAAACCTCAGAAAGTTGGAACATGGGATAAGTATGAGCAGTTCTGTGCTATACTTTTCCTTAGGATCATGAGGAAAACCCTAACACCCTAAACCCTAAACCGAATGACTTGCCGTCTTCAACTCCAAGCGGTCCAGCACTTTTCTAATGAGAAGCGATGCGAGCACTGGCCTCCGGCAAAGGCGAACACCTCTAAAGTAGGGCCTGAAAAAAAGCAAGGGTGTGGGTAGAAGATTCTACGCAGATCTTACGACTACAAATCTCTCTCGACGCCAACCTTAAGCCCTGTAAGCTTTAAGCACACAGAAACCCTGAACCCAAGGACCGGACCACAGGTCCTGAACCCTGTGTAAGCCCACCATAAGACCTCTCTAAACCCTAAACCCTCAACCCTCGACCCTCGACCCCAAACCCTAAGCTTGGACTCAAAAGCTTTTCGATTTCAGGCGTCGGGTCAAGAGCTTGGGGATGTACTACAGGAGCCTTAACAGTTAGACTAGGGTTTGGGGGGTATACTATGCTGTACTTATGAAAAGGAACCCCCACAGTAGTATTGGTCATATTTATTACTTAGGCCCCTAGACTACATCCTTTTAATAGCCCTTATAGCAGCCCTTATAGACCCCTTTAAAGGTACCCTAAACCCCAAGAGCCCCGGCATGAAGCTTTTATTAAGGCCCCTGGCCCCTAGGCTTCGAGGGCACCGGCCTATGATATCAAGACATTTACTCTAGGCTGGGTTTTGATCAGTAACTCGATGCCACCTGCTTCAACCCAAGTTGAATTTAGGGGTTTAGGGGTTCAGGGGTTCAAGGGTTTAGGGGGTTTAGGGGTTTAGGGGTTAGGGGGTTTGGGGTTCAGGGGTTTAGGGTTTTTTTGTTGAAAGCTCCTTTTCTTGGGGTTTAGGGTTTAGGAATTGGGGTTTAGAGCTTTAGGGTTAAGATTCTAGGGTTTAGGAAGACTAGGGAGGGATGAACGTGGGTAGGATTCAAGGATGGCGTATGCAAGGACTCGAATTTTCGTATACCCCACCTGCCGTTATCCGGAATTTGTCGCGCTTTGATACAAGGCGTTTAAGGTTTAAACTTTCAGCGTTTAGCTAATCGACTCGAAGGTGGAAAATGTGCGTGGGATACTGTTGATGGACAAAATCCTGCATGACCCTAAGGACTCTAAACTGTGGGAACTATGGTATATTCCATATAATGGGTAATGCAGGATTTTGGCCATCAACCGTAGGGATGATACGGGGAACCTTATTCCTCGCTACTTCGGCTCCGGCACGGGAGACTGCGAGGCCAGAATCGGTATACCCCGTCAGCCTAAGGTGTAGGGCTCAGGGGGAAGGGTTGAAACTTAGACCCCAAAACATGGCTTTGGTTTTGCTACTTCAGGAGTCGGGGTCTGCCAACGAATCGCAGAAAATGGCCCACTAAGAGCTGGCAGCATAGCCCGCTGGCGTCTCGTCCTTGGACAACTCCTCCTTGGCTCCCGAAACACGGAAGCTTAAACACTGACGCAGCAGATTCAGAAGAGGGCTTCTGTAGAGATTCCTGGAATTGTACTACTATCTTTACATAAGGGCTGTAATGATCAGAATAGGGCTTCGGGGGTATCTAGTATAGATACTATTTATGGGTTATACAGAAGATTACAGGCATTATTCTACTTCTTAGGCCGCAGGCTCGCCGGAACTTCGTCTTAGACCTCGACAGAAAGGCAGACTAGTGACTAGGACTCCCGAAAAAATCTAAGATCAAAACCCACCGGAAACCTCAAGATCCGAAGCCCCCGAAATCCTAAAGCCCCAAAGCCCGCAAGTGCGCAAAACCCTAATGTCATCGCGAGTTCTTAGAGGATCATGGGACTTAGTAAGTAGGGTTATAAGTAAATTAACTACAGTTATGATTACTTATAACCCCAATTAAGGTACTTATAACCCTACTTACTAAGTCCCATGATCCTTTAAGTTGTTCAGGCTATTTGACAAGCAGCCACCAGCTGATAAACAATTGCACTGGTGACCTCGCCGATTGCCGCCTTGTTTTCCAGATACTCCTCGGCGTCAAAGCGTGAAAGCCCAAACCCTAAATTCTAAAACCCCAGAACCCCTCCCTTGAATCCTAAACCATTACATATCCTTACACCCCAAACCCCAACGTGTCACCAAACCCTAGACGCCGAAACCCCTTTCCGCTAATCCCCAAAATCCTCACCCCCTAAACCTAAGCGGTCTTGGAACCATAACAAACATGACATGCTTTATGATCCCTTGCAGCTTCCGTCTCAAACGAATGAAAAAACATCAACCCAAAACCCTTCGAAAGCTAATCCAAGCTGTATGCATGCCGGAGGCTTGGAGCGCACCCTGGGGATGCATGCTCAGCCCGTTACCTGCTTCAGCTTAACGGAGATGGGGTTGAGGAAGTGTAAGGTTTAGCAAATTCATCGTTTCGGGTTTAGGAAGTTTAGGCTTGAAACAGTCTTTAACGTTTTAGGTTTGGGGTTTCGGAAGTTTGGGGCTTGAGGTTCAGCAAGTCTTGGATTTAGGGCTCGTGAAGTTTACGGTGTAGGGTTCCGTACGGTTCCAGGGCTTGCGGCTTAGTCTAATTAAGTCGTGGGGAACGGTGTGTACCCTCAGCGAGCTGTCTACAACTGTCGCTTCATCTACCACATCTGGCACTTTTGCGAGTAGCTACCTCCGCCTTCTCCTACACCCGCTCCCACTCCCTCTCACTCCGACTTCCACTCCCAGTCCCTCTCCTACTCTACTCACTACTCCCACCCCTCTCCCTCCTCCTTTCTCCCTCGCATCCTACGACAACAACTACTACTACGACGACGTTGCCGATGACGACGTTGACGGGCCTTCCGACATCCGAAGCATTTGGGTTGCCAGAGTACACTTGGATTTCCGAGATGAATGCCGTGGTTCACCGGCATAGAAATATGTCTTGGAATTCCGGGTGTAGAGTTGAGGGTTGCGGGGGAAGGAGATGACTCTGCCAAGCTGCAGGCATTGTCGCAGAAGCAGATCACAAAGTAGGGCACCTGCAGCTCCTGAAAGGTTCATGGCTGCAAGGAAAGAAGAGAAAGAAGACTCATATCCTTCTAAAGACGAAACCCTGAGCCCTAAACCCTCGTGGTTTAGAGGGTTTTTTTAATGCGTGATGACCAGAGTCTGCGACCTAGGTCTGCCTTTACAGGTACACGCAGGTGAGATCCATGCATGTAGAACAGAATCGTGTAGTCAAAGAAGTGGTTGACCCATGTTCGCAGACTTGTAACCGACATTCACAAGATACACTCTCCCGTCAGGTAGTCCAAGACGTCTACGAGTCTACGAGCACACCCTCAGTGGACAAAGCACAGGTAGCACATCCATCCACCATGTAGAATACAGTCTGGTAGTCGAGGAGGCACTGGGAATAGACAATGTCTTCCACATCCCAGTTGGACACGGAGTAGAAGATGTCAACCATGAAGAAGAGGTCCAAGCATAGGTAGTCTCACGTAGCTGTAGGACACAAGCCAAGGTCATCCATGTAGGACATGATAGAGACAACGTAGAGATCGACCATACAGGGCACACAAAGGGGACCGACCAGCTGGCAGCAGTGGTGCATGTAGAAGTCTTCCATGTAGGGCAGGATCCAGAGGTTGTCCATGAAGGGCATACAAGGCACAGCAACAGAGGCCTTCCAGGTAAGGCAAGATGTCGAGGTCGTCCATGAAAGGCATGATGTAGAAGTCATCCATGTACACGTGCACATAGAGGTCTTCCGTGCAGAACAGGATGTCGAGGTCGTCCATGCAGGGCACGATGTAGACGACAATGTTGTGGTGGTTGTACACGTAGAGGTCAATCAGGAAGGGCTTTAGTGCATAGGGCTTGGAGTTTGGAGCTTGGGGTTGAGTTTGCCAAAAAATCAGGTTCAGGATTGGGCGCATCGTGGCTTATTCAGGTGATGCCGGAGTCGGAAGTCCTATGTATGATACCGACGAAGAAACAGCCCGTTCTCCAGCCTGCCTGAAACTGTTCGCTTCGTCTGAAAGTTCGGTGATAGGACATCGTTCTCATAAGGCTCTCGTGTACAGGACATGAGTCCGTTGCTTAGGGGGTGGAAGGGCTCCTGTTTATCTCTTGCAGAGGCCAAACAACCAGGCCCGCAAGCCGAATCTTACCACAAGGATTTAAAGGTTTAGGGTTTATTTGGGGTTTAGGGTTTAGGGTTTGGGGTTTTGGGTTTGGGTGTTTGGGTTTTTTTAAGTGCAATGACTCTTTATCCACTCCGCATGTGCAGGTCTTGAGCCTGCCTTAGCCAGGCTTGCACTACTGCCACTCACTCCGGCTTAGGGTTTGGGGTTTAGGGTTTAGGGTTTAGGCAAGGCTTCGGGATGCATGCCCTCAACCTCCAATGGAATTAGGCCGACTGTTCTCTCCTCACACAAGATCCACTCGTTGCCGCAGGTCATTCCCACGATGTCTCCGATGCCTGGATCGTTGCAGTTGCGGCGTTACGCAGAGAGAGGGAGGAAGAAGCTTTGAGCGCAGCGTCACCTAAACCACTGATCTCCCAGGTGTATTCTACATATGCTACACGAGGATCCATGCGTACATCCATACATACCGCTGCCTGAAGCGCAAAGAGCCCTGGCATGTCGAAGGCAAATCTGCCCTCAAACCCTAACCCTAATCAAAGCTCTCGGCTTTTTTTCTGGGCCAGTCTCATTGCCCACTTAGGCAGAAAAAGTGAACCCGTGTGCACGAGGGGTGGCTTAGAATTTTCGGTTTCTTGCTTGCTCGAAAAATTGTTGATTGTGCACACCCACATACATGTTGAACATACATGTTGAGTCGGAGGATTGGAAGCGTTTCTAGGATCTAGACGATGCGATCTCCATGCGAACCCTAAGCCCTAAACCCTGAAACCCTGTACCCCGCAACCTTATAAAGCCCAAACCCTAAACCCCTAAAACCTCAACCCCTAAACCCTAAACCCTAAACCTTAAACCCCCAAACCCCCAAACCCTAAACCCTAAACCCTAAACCTCTAAACCCTAAACCCAATAGCAGAGCATTCGGAAGGCCTCTGTAGGAGCGTATCTCGGCCCTTGTCTCGAACCGTGGGCCCACGGTGTTGACGTAGACCGTCTCCTTGGGGTTTGGGGTTTGGGGGTTTGGGGTTTAGGGTTTAAGGATTTAGGGTTCAGGGTAGGGTTAGGGTTTAGGGTTTAGGGGTTTCGGGTTGAGAGGTGCAGGGTTTAGGGTTGAGGGGCGCAGGGAGCTCTTCGGTAAGAGACAAACAGCTGTAATCGATCGCAGCGTCGTCGTCACAGTGGCGGTGGCAGTAGTAGTCGTCGTCGTCATCGTCTGCTAGTGCTGCTACAGTCGCTGCTGTTTTCTATTGGCTCCTTTATAAAGATTGGAAAGCGGGTTGCAGCCAGTTAAACAGCACAAGCTTTACAATAAATCGAAATAATGTCCCCGCGGCGTTCCTTTCTGTTGTGTTTCCGTATTTGCTGCTGCAAAAGCAGCTTTAACAGGAGCAGCAACCATCATGCGGACAACAAAATCCAAAGCAAAAATAACAACATCACAGTCAGCAATATCTTTTATCACTCACCATCATCATCATCATCAACATCATCCTCATTGTCATGGGCATCGTCATCCGCATCATCGTCATCACCACCATAATCATCACCATCACCGGCACCATCGCGCTACAACCATCTCAGTGCGAGTAGGCATGCTCGTACTGCAAGTACAATCATCGTGTGGTTGTCTTCCTATGTTTTCAGTTCCGCGATATGCCATGGTGATGATGTGATCGAGGCATCCGGTTTAGGGTTCTGGCCAAAGCTGAGCGTCAGAAGAGACATGACAAGACTACTATAGATTCACAGGATTCGCACAAAGCCTCGTGAACCCAAAACCCTGGAAATCCAACAGCTTGTCACTGGTCCTTCTGCGGTATGAGCGGCCAGCTGGAAGCGGTCTGACCTACCAATACAGAAGCCTTAATAATTAGAATATGGCTTTTGGACATATTCTAGAATTATTTCACGAGGAAACCTAAGGAATAGTATCGGAAAAAAATGTTCAGGCTTCTACATTATTGAGAACTTGCCGGGCATGGTATCAGAAGGGCTTTATAGGGGCTTTGCAAAGGCCGTATACGTTTTTTAACGTATGCTTTTCGTGCTTTATAACGTCTGATTTGAGGAAACGAAACCTTGTACAGAGAATTGGCACCGATAAGGTGCCTCCTACTGCTGCTTCTCCTGCTACTACTCCTACTCCGATACGCCTAACCGCGCCGGCGACGACTACGACTCTTGTGACAACAACTGCTACGAGCACAAGGCCAACGGCTTGGAAAGTTTGGGGTCTGTCGTCTCTACTTTGCAATTGGGTGTTTCACGATGTATACTGTAAGGTAGCGAAAACCCGTGATTGGAAAAGTTACCTTTTTGGTATTTTGATCGGGATCCTAATAGAGAGGCCCTTTTTGAGAATTTGCGTTTATAAATCGGAGGTCTACGTTAACAATGTATATGCAGGCCTTGATAATTAGAATACTGTGCCTGCGAGCACCTGAACCCTATGAGGGTTCCCAGAGGTCCCCGGCAGCAGAACTCTGGGCTCGAGCTACAAAGATGACTCGAAGCTACCACAGAAAGCACCAGAGGGACTCTCGGGCTCGGAGTTTGAAGGGTTTAGGGTTTAGGGTTTGTGTTTGTGTTTTTGAGGGAAAGGGTTCAGGCTTTAAGGTTTAGGGTGTAGGGTTGGGGTTTAGGGTTTCGGGTTTAGTGGTGCCATATAGCGGCCTTTATCATGAGGAGGCCGTCAAGCGTTCTCTCCAATATGATACCGACCCCTAAACCCTAAACCCTTGAATAGGATGTTTGGGTTTAGGAAAACTCGTTCAGCTCTACAGCCAGATGCAAAAATGCGAAAGTCGCCGGGCCGATAACATACAGGTCTGAAAACTGCGGTATCTTCTACGGGAGTTTTATTCCTACAGGGGGGTTTAGGGTTTAGCGGTTTAGGGGTCTAGGGTTAAGGGTTTAGGGTTTAGGGGTTTAGGGTATACAAACAGTCAGCAAGCTTACTCCCATATACCCCCACATCCTAGTCGATTTATTAAGGCTCCTATGGGCTTCGTCTGAAGTCGGAACAATTGAACATAGCATTCCACTACAGTTCTTATACACGTTAAAATGCGTTGCAAGCATGAGGCCCCCCATATTATGTCGATACTCTGCAACCTCCCCTGCCACCTTGTGCGAACTTCACCTTCTCCTCAGCTGCGGGAATCGGACTCGAGGTTAGCTGTAAACGGTTTAGGCTAAGGGCTTTCGGGTTTTAAGGGCTTTCGGCACTTCAGGCTGTAAATCCTTGAAAGCTTTAGGGTTTTAAGGCTGTTTGAGGGCTTGAAGTTTTCATTCTTTGCGGCTTCAGGGTTTCGGGTTTGGGTTTGGGGCCTTAGGGGTTTCAGGGGTCTTGGGGCTTTAGGCTTTTAGGGTTTCAAAGCTGTTTCTTGTGGGGTGGCTCTTTCTCCGCACATCCCGGGCCTGCGTCATAGAGGCTTGCACTGAGAACCGGGTTTAGAGTCTAGGGTCGACTCTGGAACGAGGATGGCCTCCCTATGTTCCACAAAAAAAACAAGACATCTCTTCGACCGCACAAGGCTCGAAATCCTTGAACCTCCACCCCCGATCCAAAACCCAGAACTCGCACTAAACCGCAACCCAAACCTTACGAACCCTGGAACCTGAACCTTCAACCCTACACCCCTGAACCCTACACCCCTAAACCCTAAACCCTAAACCTCTAAACTAGGTGGGGCTTTTAGAGCCTTTGAAAAATATTAGTAAATAAGATCCTCTGAAGCCCAATAAGGGAAGGTTTAAAATGTCCCAAAGCCCTGCCTAGTAAACCCTACGTACCCTTCGGCCCAGGTGCGCGAACACGCGCAAGCACTCCATGCAAGGCACCCTGCACACGCACTGACCAGGCAACCCTGCGTTCATCCTCCGGGTGGAACAGTTAAGGCTTCAGGGCTTTGGGGTTCAAAAGGCGCAAAAAAACTTGAAAGGCTTGATAGGGTTTAGGCTTGAGGACTCTAGAGCCTTCGGGTTTAGGGTTGAGGTGGCTGAGGTGTCAGATGATGCTTAGCTTGAGCTACATGGACAGAAGTAAGGATTTGTGTTTAGCTTGCTAGGCTTGAATTTCAGGCGACCACGTCACAGAGTGTGTGATTCCTCCACTCCATTTTCGGAAGTTGCCTAAACCCTGCATCCTGAACCCTAAACCCTAAACCCTAAACCCTAAACCCCAAAACTCGATACCTTAACCTGAAGGGTTTACCACAACTACAGTAAGGAACCCCAAGGCATAGCATCATCAAGTATCCCGGCCCCTAACCTACACCCCAAACCCTGAACTTCCCTGAACTTAAAACCCAGCATACCCTGAACCCAAAAACATGAACCCCAAACCCTAAACTCTGGATTGCCCTGAACCACGCTGTGGGGGTCCTGTATATTTATAGTGTAATGGGCCCCAGAACCCCTTAAAGCAACCTTTAGATCCCTTAAAAGAAACCCCCAAAAAATCCCTTAAAGGACCCCTTAAAGGCCCCTTTTTCGCTCTTTTGCGTCCTGTGGGTACCCCTAAACCCTACACCCTGAACCCCGAACCTTAAACCCTTCATCACCCTGAACCATGCTCTTTGCTGTCCAGTGGATTGGTTTTAGCTTAAGGCGACTATTAAGGTGCCATAATACGGAAACCCTTTCTTAATGACTACAGATCCCCATTATGGTAACTTAAACCTTAACCCTAAACCCTGAAAGGAACCTTTATAGATCCCTTAAAGGAGCCCTTATAGATCCCTATACCCCTTAAACGGAATCCAGAGGAATCCTGTCCTGTGGGTTGGCTGGAGAATAGTGGATCCGCCCCACCCCACCTTCGGGCGTCTCGAAGGAGCCGATCCTCGAAGGGTGTTTTAGGGGTTACTAGAAGGGTTCCCATAAGGCTTACTATAGGGATGTGGCGTTTAGGGTAGAGGATTAGGGGATTTAGGGTTTAGGGTTTAGCGTTTGGGGTTTGGGGTAGGTTTGGTAAAGGCTTGAGGGTTTAGGCTTCAGTCGGGCTTGCGTCCCTGAAGCAACCATTCGTGCGGCTAGAGTTTAAGGTTTCCCTGGGGCTTCTGAAGGCTTCTACAGGATTTTATATCCTAGGATACCCAGTAACCTAAGAATAAAAAGGCCTCTCTTTTTGGTATTGGGTAACTTTATAAGGAACCTAGGACTGCAAAAAGGGAATAAGGGTACTACTGGGCATCCTAGTATCGGTGTTGCAAGGGTTTTGTAAGGGCGTGGCCAAGTCTACAAAGGATTTTGAGATGGTCTTCAAAAGGGCCTTTGCTTCTAAAGGGCTTCGCAGGGTGGAAGGCAAAGGGGCTCAGGGAGGCCTGGAGGTAGACCCTAAACCGAAACCCTAAACCCTAAACTCTAAACCGTTTGAATTTGAGGTGTAGGAGCTTATGGTTCAAGGGGCTCGATGGCTCTTTTAAGTCTATCTCCTCTTTTGCGTCTGCTATCACGAGTTTTGAGAATGCCAGGTTGGCTGAGGGCTCGAGGGTTCAGAGCTTCCGGGTCTCAGGGTGCTGGAGTTTCGGGTTTAGAGTTTTAGGGCTTAGGGTTTAGGGTTTAGGGTTTAGGGGGGCTACAGTATGGTGAAGGGTTTAGGGTTTAGGGGTTTGGGATATAGGGTTTCAGGGTTCCCACTTTGCTTGCGGGGGAAGCCGTTCCTGACATCACGGGTGGGTTACTTAAATATGCCCCAAACCCCGTTCCAAATGTAAAGGCCTGTGTGTTGGCTAGCAAGTTTCGGGTTGAAAAAACACCTCTACAGAAGGAATGAATAGCAGTGGGAGAAAAATGTGCTATCCATGGCTTGGGTCCTGAGTAGACTGTATTCCTGGAAATAAGGGGCTCTCTTTTTGTTGAGGACCTTTTTCCTGGACAGCCAGGAAAGGGCAATTATGTCGGGACCTTAACAATTAGAATAGATTTTGGGGGTGCGTTAGAGTATAGTTATAACAAGGAATCCTAAGGAATAATCCTGGTAATTCTGTCGGCCCCTGTAGTATTCGGGCTGTGGCCCCTAAACCCTAAACGCTCAACCCTGAAGTAAAAGCCAGAAAGTTGGAATATGATTATCCTAACCCTTCTACGGTAAATTATAAGGTATCCTACCCTGAAACCATGTTCCAACTTTCTGGAGTTCCCTTTAAACGCTAAACCCTAAACCCTGCTGAGTCTCTTCTCATGGCCCCAGAAGGTAACCGGCTGAGGGTTCACCATGTAGTAGTCGTTTGCTGCGACGACAGAGCCGACGGGTATCGTGTCCTCAACTGCTCACTTAAAACTAGGGTTTCGGGTTTAGGGGTTTAGGGTTTAGGAGTTTAAGATTTAGGGGTTTACGTGTTTAGGGCTTATGGTGATGGTTAAAACACGGTTTTGCAAGGACTTAGAATCTTCTGCAGATTTGATACAGGCGTGCAGGGTTAGGATCGGGGCTGGCGGGTTGGAAGATTTGGGGTTTCGGGCTGTGGTTTGGGAACTCGGACACAATTGTGGTGACATGCACCGAACAAAGTAAGGCGACGCGGCACAGCTGCGCTGTAGTGCGTCCACTCTGCCTTCCTCTTGGGCCCAGGGCACTTGACTTCTTGGCTCACGCCCCTGCAACCCCCCCAAACCCCTAAACCATAAACCTCTAAACCCTAAACCCTTAAACCCCTAGGTCGTAAACCCTAAAGCCCAAACCCAAAGCCCAGCCTCAACGTCGTGCCGCGGGCTTTATAGAGAGGTCCCCGATTTCGGCTGGGAGCCGGACTTCTCAAGAATCTATAGGTCCATTCAGGCCCCCTTTACCAACCCAAAACCGTATGAAACCTGAACAAAAACACGGGCGGTACCTTCAAAACTTAACGGAGCTTTCGGAATCACAGGAGCAGGCACACACACACACACACAAAATACCTTATCAAATGCAGCTGTTTGTCACGTGCTGCACATAGTACTCATCCCATGTGGTATGATATAGCATGATACAACATGACAGTACACAACATGATAGAACACTACATAAAGAGACTTAACATGTCGGATCATAGCCCGTTAGAACATGGTCGAATAGAAAAGGAAGAGAATAATGCAAGGGCCTTAACAATTAGAATAGCGTTTTGGGGCCCATTATACTATACTTATAACAAGGAACCCCCAAAATGGTACTGGTAGTTGTTTAGGCCCTAAACCCTAAACCCTAAGCCCTAAACCCTAAACCCCCTGTAGTACATCCGAGACTCAGGATGCAGGGTACCCGTACTGCTCAATGCCACCACGCCCGAGCACTCGGAGTTCCTGGGATCGGCAAAACACTCGGAACGGTTTAGGGATTTAGGGGTTTAGGGGTTTAGGGTTTAGGGATTTTGGGTTTAGGGTTTAGGGTGAACATCAACGGTACCTGCGAGAGCTGAGGCCACCATGTGGGTACGAGCAGGCGCTGCCGGAAAACAAAATTATTATGGAATGATGTCCCCTTATCGTGCTTAGTTTTGTTTTTGCACCCCCTATCAGGGTGTAGGATTTAAGGTTTAGGGTTTAGTTCGAATATTAGCGTGCAGCTAAACATGGCTATGCCGTGGCCATGCCACTTGTGCTGCCCTACGATGGCGATAGCGATGACGATGATGATGATGATGATGACACCGATGATGGCGGTGACAGTCATGTATTTTGAAGAGGTGGGACCATTTAGAACTGCTGTCGATGATGATGATGATGATGTTGACACTGGTTCAGACGCTGCTGCTGGTGATGCCGCTGCCATGGACACGACACCCTAAACGCCAAACCCTAAACCCTGAGCCCAGATACTCCGAAGCCACAACCAAAAGCAGACAAGACACACAGCCAAGGCCCAAATTAGAGCCCTAAAGTTCACCTCATGGGGCGGCGCGTAGTCAGCCTCGGATCAAGTTTAGGTTTTAGGGCTTCGGCTTTAAAGTTTAGTGCTTAAGGTTTGGCAAAAACTTTCCTTGAAGCATGGCTTACTAACCTGCACAGCAGCGGAAGGCAGCACAAGGAGACAACGGAAAGCAGAATGGAAACGATAATCGCCGATAAATCCTGGAGTCGAAGCCTGAATGGAATTGGAAAATGAAGAAACGGCATGGAAGCGAGAATGGAAGCCCTTCTGCAACCGGGACGCAGGACTGAAAAAGGAAATAGCAACGAAAAAACTGACAAGCCTTGTTTCAGCTCTGTACAAGTCTACACGACAAGGCGTGCACACAGTGACGTGGGCATAAAAAACGTATGCAGGAACTCGCGTGCAAGATCCTGTGCAAAAGCAGAGCGGTGTGGGGAGCTGCACGTCTGCAAGAGCCTGCGCAAATATTCGCGCACACGTTTGGAAGCAAACTTTTGACTGGGTCGGCCAGAGCAGCAGGCTGCAGAGAGAACACCCTTGCCGGATCGGACCATCTGGGAGTTTCCGAAAATCGGGGACCCTAATAAAGTACCCTGTATAGTAGGATCCTTATTACAAGGATCCCCAAAATGAGGTACCCCTAATTTTCGGAAACTCCCATCTGAGCTGAGGCAGACTTCCGCTTCAAATGCTGCGAAGGAAGCGAACCTCTCTGCATCGATGGTTGGTCCGTGATGTCCTGTTCCACTGCTGCGCACGTGAGGGCAGCCATTGCCACTTGCGTTCTTCATAATCTGGGAGTTTCCGAAAATAGGGAACCCAAATCTAGTACCCTACATAGTAGGATCCTTTTTATAAAGACCCCAAAATATGGTACCCCTAATTTTCAGAAACTCCCATCTGGAATCGGGGCAAGTTGACCAGAATCTCGCCGGCCATTCGGCGCAGGCACGAGGATCAAGCGATTGTTGCCGCCAAGGCAGTGCGATTTCATGTTGTGCAGGATGTCCACCTCAACGGGCCGGGTGCAGTTGTTGCATTCAGCCAAAGCTAGTTGCAACGGTTGCCCAGCCTGCCCTCTACTGCTCAGAGAGCCCAATACCCCTTAATTCGCCTCGGCCCCGCCGGCCGAAGCGGTCAGAGGTTCCTATTCGGATTTCCTCTATTCTTAATCCCCTCCCCAGTGACCCCACCCCCAAAATCCTGGCCACCCCCCCCCCTAAAAAATGGAAACGTGTCGATGAGCCCCAAGGTCCGGCGGTGAATTTTCGCCTTCTCCAGTGGATTTTGGCTTTCTGTAGGCAGTCCCACCCAATTTTCTTCTGACTTCTTCCCCCTCCCCGGCCCCTTCCCCCCCCCCTCCCCCCCCTCCTCCGCTCGCTGACAGAGTTTTGTGAAGTTTTCGACGACACGGGACTGCAATGTAGCATCTTTATGTGTTGGGGCTCGCCTTTAAGGCTGCAGTACCAAGCGAGTTTCAAACCTGAAATTCTAACCCTACTGCAGATAGTAGCCACTCGCCGCATGCGCGTACAGCCGGGCCGAGGCGGACGACGCGCAGCGTTTCAAATTAAGGAATAAAGCTTAAATCATAATATGAAGCCCCTTATAATTTAAGGTATATTGCTTAGTTAAGGGGTATTGGAGCCCCCTAAACCCTTAACCCTTTAGATCCCTTATAGATCCCTTAAAGGAACCCTAACTATTCCTTAATTAAGGGGTCTTGGGCTCTCTGGGTGTCCACAGGCAGTTGCCTTGCCTGGGACGGACCCACGCGCACCGAAATCATGCCACGGACCGCCTCTGGCAGATGCCCAGCACATAAATTAGGGCCCCAAAAAAGCACATAAGCAAAAATTAGGATAGGGATATCCCATATAAACCCCCTTAAAAGGAAGCCCAACAAGGCAGGGATATCCCGGTAAAATGCTTATGCTTATGTGCTTTTTGGGATCCCTTAAATAAAGCCTCGCTCCACGGCGTCGGCGTCTCAGGCAAAGCATCGACGGGAGATTGCAAGGCCATCTAGATGGGAGTTTCCGAAAAGTCAGGGTACCTTATTTTGGGGTCCGAATAATAAGGATCCTACTATTCCCCTATTTTCGGAAACTACCAGATCATCTTTCGACTTCTTGTCGAAGTTGTGCGACGTGATGATCCGGCTGCCCGGAAGGACGCCAAAACGGCCAGGAACCCCTAAACCCTAAACTCTAAACCGTGCGAAGGCAAGGCTACTTGCCGGCAAGAAATTCAGGAAACTGCCGACAGCAAAACTGAGGATTGATGAGGCGTTGGATGTTCGTGGAATGCAGGGTTAAGGGTTTTAAGGTTTCCGGTTTGGACTTTAGAGAGTTTAAGGGCTTGGGTTTGGGGTATAGGGTTATTGTACCACGAGCACGTCGTGTTGCGCTTCAGCAAGACAATCTGCCTGCCCATGAACCCTGAAACCACAACTGCAAATCTGAATATCCCAACAAACAATGTTGAACTCTACAACCCTAGGTAAAGGTGCAGACATCCGAACACTCTCACTGAATCTTTGCAATGTCTGCAAAATGTTCCAGTTCAGATTCAAGACTCCGGAAACCTAAAAAAAAAACCTGCACTAAAAACGCCAACCAGGATAAAATACATTGCCAGCATTATGATTTATACACCCTACACCTTAAAGCACAAACCCTAAACCCCTAAACCCCTAAACCCTAAACCCCTGAACCCTAATCCAAGCTGCTTTTCCTTGATCGTTGACTTTGGTGCACAAGTGCCTGGGAGAGACAACGCCAGAGCCGGCTGTCGAGTTCCATCCTCTCTACTTACTATAGCGGCCTGCAAGAGTAAGAATACGATTTTCGAGCCTTACAGTTCTACTGAGATTAAGCAATTCTAGACAGGGTTCGATTTGATGTTACATCTAGCCGGCCCTGAGTTCGACTTCGGAGAAATTCTGGACACAGGGCTGTTGATTGAGGCATTCGCCACGGACGGGATTGAGGACATGAAGATTAGGATTGAAGGCTACTGAACACTGAACACTTGCCCCAGACAGAACTGTACACGCTATGAGGCTTCGGAATGAGGGTCGTGGGTGGACGGCTCAGGGGTCGTGAGTGAGAGACACAGAACTCGGTCTCCCCACGATTTGAGGTGCCTTCTTCAGGAGTCCCTTTTTTCCAACACTACTTCGGCTCAAAGCCTCCATAGGAAAGGGGTCCTCTATAAGCATTACTGATATTATTTTCCGAACTCTTCTACATATGTTTAAGTAATAGTAATAATAACATCATTCTTTATGCTACTCCTGTTGTTGCTGTCATTAGGGGTAGTAGTAGTAGTGGTACTACTACCACCACCACCACTACTACTACTACTACTACTACTACTACTACTACTACTACCACCACCACTACTACTGCGGTTGTGATTACTACTATTTCCTGGTACCCGCATTGGCATTAACATTCTTATGTTTATCTTTAGTGTCGGTATTCTTATTTCTATCTTCAATACCAGCTTTCGCGTTGTACCGATATTACCAGTACTACCATTACTGTTGCTCTTCGTCTGATTATTCCTACTTCTATTTCCCTACAGTAGAAGCCAGAAAGTTGGAATATGATTATCCTAACCCCTTTCAGGTAAATTATAGGGGATCCTACCATTAATCCATATTCCAACTTTCTGGAGTTCCCTTTAGTACCCATATCATGAACCTAAACCCTAAACCCTAAAACCCTGTAGATCCCTTAGAGGAACCCTTATAGATCCCTTTGAAGGAACCCGAGTTCCCTTTAAACCCTACGAAATCTCCCAGTTCCCATCGAGCGGCCTGTTCGCGAAGATTACGCGGCGCTTGGAGTCCAACGCTGCGAGGATGCATTTTCCCCAAGGGGTCTCAACCGTCCACGAATCCTCACGGGATGGGTTTTCGGCAGGGAGGGACTGTTTAGGGATGTTTAGGGCGTAGATCCTTCCCTCTGGGCGCTGTCAGGCGTCGCTTGAACCCGAAAACCCGTCCAAAACCCTTGGTAGCTTGGGCGCTCCGGACGCCTTTTTAGGATTTAAGCGAAAAGTCCGAATTTTTTAATGATAACATCCTCTAAACCCTAAACCCTAAACTCAAACCGTCGTCCCTGATGATCATGGAGACCCCGATACAAGGGGCCATGCTAAGCTCCTCAGTCATCTACCAACGAGAAAACCCGTGACTGCGAACCCACAAGATTCCCGAGGATTAGGTTTAGGGTTTAGGACACACGATACCCGAGGCCCAGACATCAGGAATCCCGCAGCTCAACAATCCCTGAAATGCCATACACCGCCCCGCATGCCCTCCCCCAACAACAAAATAGAAAGAACGACATTAACCTGCGCTCAAAGCCGAAATCTCTCAAAATGATCCTTCGGCAGCCCGACCCTAAAAGCCTTTGCCCCACACGCCCTGAGCCGCCCATAAGTCAACCTAAACCCTAAAAACACCGAGGCCAAAAACCCTACACCCTTAACCCCAGACCCAAAACTCGAAACCCCAAACCCTAAACCCTTAAACCTTCAACCCTAAACTCAAAACCCCCAAACCAAACAAAACCCACGAACCCCCCCCCCCTCCTCGCCCTTCACCTGCACGCCGCTGCCGCCGATCACGCCGAAGCGAGGGAGGGGCCCAACAGATGCCATGGCTGGAGACTAAGACTAAGGCTAGTGATAAAAAAAACGAAATAAACGCGATAACAGTATTAAAGATAAACAAATATGGTTCTATAAAAGTACTAGCAAGAGTAAGACTTGTGATAGAAAAACGAAATAAACGTAACAGTAGTATCAAAGGTCCTTATTATCAAACGGATCCTCTCAGGTAGCATCGCTGGTATGACAGATGAAGAACAAGTAGAAGAAGCAGAACAAGACGAAGAAGACCAAGATCGAGTAACGGAAGGGAAACCCGCAACATGGTCCGATACTCCGTGTTGGGCGCCTTCCGGGAGTTTGCAACTGCATTTCTCCATGCGCTCGCTGGCTCTGTTGGACTCATTAACGTTGGAGGGTCGGCTGCGGGAAAAGCGTAGGCAGCTCGATGCTTGCAAGTGACAACCATCCGGCCCACACCCCATCCCAACGGAATCCCTAAACGCTAAACCCTAAACCCTAAACCCCTAAACCCTAAACCCTAAATCCTAAACCCTAAACCCTAAATCCTAAACCCTGAACCCTATACCCTAAACCCTAAATCCTGAACCCTAAACCCTATACCCTAAATCCTAAACCCTAAGCCCTAACCCCTGTTAGCTTCTCCTACAACGCCCTGAAAGGTCCGACCGTGCTTGCGAGTAGTAGCAGTCGCCAGACCGGCCCCTAATGCAAAAGCTACTACCACAACTCTTTCTATCAATATTCTAGACCCAAGAGTATCCTAGGAATAAAAAGGGTGCCCTTTTTGGTTTAAAGGGGCTTATAAGGGAACCCGAACCCACAAAAAAGGGAATAAGGGCCTACTCCAGGTCCTAGTATTAAAGATAAAAGGATTCAAGGCTTAGGGAAAGCTACTACCACAACTATTACTAGTAATTTTGACGATAGTGTGACCAAGTAGCAATGACTATTATTGCGAGTACCAATGACTCTGACGCATCAGATAAACACTGCTTCACCAGCGTCGCCAACTTCGCTCAACCTTTCTGCCTGCCACCGCAAAGCCCCAGAGGATAGCAACAAGACTGAGAATACAAATGACAATAATGAAAACTGTCTTAATGAGAGCTTCAACAATAAGAGGACAAATGTTAATAAGCAGATTAATGAAGCCTAACTCCTGTTCCAAATAAGAATTCAGAATCCTCAGAATCCTCAGCCGAAAGCCTCTCCTCCGCCCTCCTCAAAAGCAAAAAGTGCCCGTCATCAAGCAATGGAAAACTGCAAGCAGCCTTACACGCAAACTCCAACCACCGCGTCTGAGAACTACCGTCCGGGCACCGGACCACCCAAGCCAACCAACCCAAAAACCCAAACCCCAAGTCTATGCATGACCATAGCATAGCTGTACATGTGTATATATATATATATGCAGGCGATGAGGGGAGATGATGATTAGGATTGCTAGTGCTATCATGAGTAACATTGTTGCTATCACTACTACGCAGCCCTCCGCATTAGCTCGCTGCCCTGGGTCAACTCCGGCGGGCTGGCCTGGGTGCATCGTTGCTGCGTGATCGAGACGGACGCCGGGGCCGCTTCGGGCCCTGCTCACGGCGCTGCTGGCGCTTACGCTTCTTCTTGTTTTAAAGCGTAGGGTTCAGGGTTTAGGATTTAAGGGTTTAGCGTTCAGGGCTTAGGCTTTACGGATTGCCCTAGCGACAAGTCGGGAGTAGAGCCCAGGGTCCCGGGGTTACGTGTTTAGAGGTTCGACTGTAGGGTTCAGAACTTTAGTCCAGGAACGGAAACCCCAAACCCCAAACGCGCCCTAAACCGAGACCCTAAAACCTTCAACCTTAAACCTTAAACATAACAGACAACTCCTAGACCCAGACCCTGTCATCCAAACCAAAAGCTGAGCCCCTAAACCTTTCAGAATAGGACGCGAGGAGACTCGAACCTTTCAACCTTCAACTCGCGCGCACCCTAAACCCTTAAATCCGAACTTCCCTAGACTTTCACCCAGTGAAGGCCCTCAACATCAGACCCTGTAGCCCTAAGCTTGCCCCAAACCCCAAACCCTAAGCCCTAAACCCTAAACCCCAATTAAACCCTAAAACCCTAAAACCCTGAAGCCTGAACCCTAAAACCCTAAACCCTAAAACCGAAGCCGTCTTCGGCTTGCAGGGACAAGGGCGCAGTTCGTTTCCCATGGCGCGGTCTTTCTGTGTCTTTCCTAAGGGACCCTTAGGGAAGTAGGGGGGGGGCCTTGGTTTTGTGGTACATTGTACTATAAGTACAATAAGCAACCCCCAAATGCCCTTATTTCGGGGCCTTAATCAGAATAGGGTTTTTGTGCTACATTGTACTATAAGTATAATAAGCAACCCCCAAATAGTAGAGGTAATTATTACTGTAAGGCCAAAGCACTAAGCCGCGAACTCTTAGGGTCATGCCTCGGTCACTATCTAATCCTGCGGAGCAAGCGAGCCCTAAAACATCGAAGGTCACTCGAAGTGCGGATTCAGGTGTAAGGAAGTTTTGGTGCTATTGGTGTCTAGGTTTGGGGGGCTGTTTTCGGGCTTGGGATTCAGGGTTGAGGTGAATTCAGTGGTAGGGTTGCGGTCTACCTAGGCGAAACTTATGGGATCAAGTCGGGTTTAGGGTTTAGGCGTGTAGGGGTTAGGGTTGAAGGCCTCAAGGATAAAAGGTTGCAGAAAAGACAAGCAGGGTCCCATGGCTGCAGAGCAGACCTCGGGATCTTCCGCGTTGAAGGGGTCGAAATCCCAGACGTGTACCTTGCAGCCGCAGTAGCTAACCCCTAAACCCTAAACCGTAATCCTACAACCCCAGAACAAACATCTTAGAATAGGGTTTGGGGGTTTATGCGATACTATAATCATAGTAAGGGGCCCCAAAATAGTATCGGCAACTTTTGAAGTTTTCATATCAACACCCATACCCTCCGAACCCTAAATACCGTCTAAGCTGTGAAGCCCACAGCACACCCTCGACCCCCAAGCCCAAGGTAGTAGCAATAGCAGAAAACCCTGCAAAACCCCTAAGACAGTAATAGCAACCACAAAGATCATGCTCACAAAAATGTTTAGGGTTGTAATAACAGTTGACTAACCGAGATCTTGCAGAAGCATCACAAACAAAAAGAAGAAGAACAGGACTGGCACAATCGACCCTCATCCCGACACTCGGAGTCCCTTTTAAACGAAATAGATCAATAGCAATGATGAGACCCAAGAGTACCCTAGGAATAAAAAGGGTGCCCTTTTTTGGTTTCAAGGGGCTTATAAGGGAACCTGAACCCTACAAAAAGGGAATAAGGGCCTACTCCGGGTCCTAGATGATGATGAGAAGGAGAACGATAGTAACAACTACTGCAACAAGCTCGAATAAGTACAAAACTACTAATACTAGTGACGAACTTGCCTAAACCCTGACAGCCTGAACCTCAATCCCCTATACCCCTTAACCTCTTAACCCTGAAACACACAAACCCCTAGACCCATAAACCCTACTTGGCTGACTTCTGAACCCCTCCTAAAAGTTAAACTATTAGCCTCCTTGTTAGAGTTAATATAGGAACCCAAATAGCTAAAGTCCTAAGAGCCAACCAGAAGAACGCCAAGGAATAGTACCCTTATAGAAACCCCACAGAAACCCTAAGTCCCTCTTAAGGAACCTTAAACGGGACCCTAACACCCTAAACCCAAACCCTAAACCCTACAGCCAAGGAATATCAACCAACCTGCCAGCACCCTAAACTAGGATACCCAGTAACCTAAGAATAAAAAGGCCTCTCTTTTAGGTATTGGGTAACTTTATAAGGAACCTAGGACTACAAAAAGGGAATAAGGGTACTACTGGGCATCCTAGCCCCTAATTTTCGGAAACCCTAAAAACCCTTTATAGAACCCTTATAGATCCCTTTAAGGAACCCTTATAGATCCCTTTAAAGGGTACGACTGGGCATCCTAGTAAATTAAGAAGGAAGGATCGGCCTTCCACTCCTCACTGGCACCATTTCGCAGCCTCAGAAGCAGATGGCTCACCTGCTTTGGGAGGCGGGAAGCGGGCGCCTTTCCTTCGGGCTTTAGGGTTTTTGTGCCCAATATAGGGGTTTAAGGCCAAAAATATAGTGGCCTTACTGATTAGAGTAGGGTTTTGGGGTGTTTTATACTATCATTACACTCAGGAGCCCCCAAGAGAATGTAGGTAATCGTTACGGCCCCTATAGTAGGGGCGTTTGTGAGGTTCCATATGGGCCTCTATGGTCGTTTTATACAGCTGTCTTCAGGGTTTAAGGATAAACGGCATACAACTAGGTGCTTGTTTATTGTGAACATCTTTTTATGCATCCGTCCTCTGGAAAGTTTTGGTGGCCTAGGGTTGGAGTTTAGCAGTTGGGGCTGGAGGAGTTGGGATTTGGGGACGGGTTTCGGGTTACGGTTTTGCACAGGTTTAGGGGTGAGGATTTAGTATCTGGGGCACAGGGTAGAAGGGGTCGGGGTTTCAGAATCTGCAGCTACGAGGACTCGTTGTGGCAACTAGGCAAGAAAACAGTAGTCCTACAGATAATACACTGGCAATAGTAATCGCCACACAAAATACTTCGGTGCTTACCGTTGCTGACCTGACCTTGCCGCCGGTGCGGCGCAGGATTGCACCAGGCCTCTGCGCGCTACATTGCGGGTTCAGAAAGGCTGAGCAGGGGAGGCGCTGCAAGGGGGGTGATGAAAGGAGAAACAATGTAGCAAGGGTCTTCGGTTTGAGAGGGTCGTGGGTTTAGGTTGGGGTTCGAAGGCGGTTTTCAACGGGAAGCTGGTTGTGGGCTAGAGAGGTTTTCTGGGGGACGGTAAGCAGCGCAAGCGGAAAAACGCCCGCGGCTGTCATCGAAGCCTCTGCACCGAGCCGTCCGTGTTTAGGGTTTAGGGCTTACGGTTTAAGGCCCAAGTGCCACCACGGTACACATAAGAGCCTCCGACGCTAGAAGCACGATATTGCATTCACCAATTGGATGAAAGCAGAATGAT